CCTGTAGGGCAGCAGCATGGTCACTTACAGACACGACCAGATGGAACGGTGGTTCCTGAGAACAACCTCTTTCCTTTCCCAGCACCAGAACCCAGTGTGTGAGTTCCCCAGTCAGATTCACCTCTGGCATCACAGGCTCACAGCAGTACAGTGCAAGGGGTGCTGCAAGAACCACTGCTCCCAAACAGACATCTCACCATTAACTTTCTTGGACATTCAGCCTCAGAACTCTTCCATTTCTCAGTTATAACAGCCTTGTAGCTGTACTTTTATACCAAACAAGGCTCTTTTCTCTCTGCTATTTACAGTCACATCTCTGACCTCCTCAATTTTGATATAAATATAAATAGTGTAACTTGGCTAATCTTTCTTTTCCCTTTTCTGGAAACTATAGGAAAACTGGTGGTTAGATTCAAGGGCTCTGCTCTGTCATAGATTCTCCTCACGCACTCTTTATGCTTCTTTCCACTTAAATAATTTAAATACTCTTTTATTTACAGTGTGTTGTGAACCAATATATTAGAAATTGTGCCTCATCCATTACTCCAGAGACTACACACATTTCAAATTAATCTTCCTATCATCACTTTGATAATGAGGTGCCTCACCAGGAAAAAAAACTTTCCTAGCAACCTGCTGCAGCTAATAAACTTTCATAAGGTGTGACTAAATCTGCCTCTGCAAGGCAAAGCTAACACGGTACTTCAGAGGAGAAATAGATCATGGATAATTCCCCCTAAATTCCTGTCAGAGAGGCTGAGAGGTGTTCCATTGGAGGTCACGTGTTAATGGTGAATGCAGAGGAAGTTTTTGGGATGCTCTGATGTGAATGAACATATCACACCATTAGCTGCACTAAGCTACTGTGTCCATTTATCATTTTGGATTCCAGACTAACAAAGATAATAGTATTAAAGCAAATATATTAGTGCTGACGGACAGCTTACCGAGTTTGACTACCATTAAAGCACGTGAATTTTTTTGCATTTTTTAAATGTCAACTCCAGGTTAAAAACACATAACTATTACAATCCTGCCAAATAAATACAAAATATTATGATTAACTATTTACCTTGCATACTGATGTATACAATAGCAGACAGCACACATATTATTGCAGCCAGGAGAACGAGGAGGATGAGCAAGTAGCTGTGCAGTAATCCTCCCCCAGGGCAGTTAAACTTCCCCTTATGAACCGTGTAAAGAACAAGAATTCCAACCCACCTACAGGGGAGCGAGATAAGAGAAGTTACAGCAGGAAAGGAAAAGCGCAGGCTGCAAAGTGCTCACGGGGAGCATCACCCTGGGCGAAGAATTCTACAGAGATTCACAGAGGGCGGGTTGTTACGTAAGGAATCAATCCTCCCCCAGGGCAGTTAAACTTCCCCTTATGAACCGTGTAAAGAACAAGAATTCCAACCCACCTACAGGGGAGCGAGATAAGAGAAGTTACAGCAGGAAAGGAAAAGCGCAGGCTGCAAAGTGCTCACGGGGAGCATCACCCTGGGCGAAGAATTCTACAGAGATTCACAGAGGGCGGGTTGTTACGTAAGGAATCTGTCACGCTCTGAGCAAAGCGGCACCGTGCCCGTTCCTGAAACGGAACCGCACCAGCGCCAGCGGCGATTAAACACCGCCGGCTGATTACGGTTCCGCGCGCACAGACGCGGCGCAGCGGCTCTGTTACGTCATGTGATGACGTAAACCGAGC